TAATAATACAAAGAATAAGCATTGAAAAATGGTGCCTGCTTATGTATTCCCCTCCCATAGTCTTGTGCATCAAGTCTTCTGTTTGTCTCCATGAACATTATACATTTTTATCTGTTTTTTTAAATACATATATTAYATTCATAAATGTATACATACATAGTGGGATTGATTCTTAATTATGAACTTTATAAACTAAACACTATAAACGTTTTGTTCATGTTTCATGACCAAGCTGCTCTACCTAGTTAAAGTTTTTAAAAAAAWTTTTTTTAGATTTTATTAGCCTTTATTGTCCTGCAGAGGGGAAATTAATTCTCTGCATTTTTACACATGGCACATGTGAACACACACGTGAATCAGTGGGCTGCCAATTACAGCGCACGGGGAGTAGCTGAGGGGTTAAGGGCCTTGCTCAAGGGCCCAAAGTGGGTCTGGTTTGTTCCGGGTGTTTAACCGGCGACCTTCCGATCACAGACTCATCTTCTCTAACCTCTGCGCCACCATTAAAAAGTTATAAAAGTACTGCTTGTGTACAACAATCTTTAAGTCATACCAGAGATTCTCAGTTGAATTGAGAATCTCTGGTATTAGATGGCTTCAGCAGTGTTGTGTAACATTGTGTACATTCTGCACAGCTTATAGTAATCCTATGGCTGGATATATTTCTGCACAGATCATGAGCTTTACCTTCGTCCTCCTGGTTGTTTGTCTGATTAAAGCCCCTCTGGTGTATCTATTGGTAGGTGTTGTGGCATCGTCTTTCCATTTCCTAATAATTGAATTTAATGGAGCTCTGTTGGATGTTCAGAGTTTAGATYATTTATTTTTTTAAAGCCCAACCAGAATTTTCTCTAGACTTTTTTACTGTCCATYATTRTGACCGACAGGGTCAAAAAACATCCATCCATCTTCTTCAGCTTATCCGGGGTCGGGTCGCRGAGGCAGCAGCCTAAGCAGAGAGACCCAGACTTSCCTCTCYCCAGCCACTTGGACCAGTCAGCTSAGARACATAGTCCCTCCAGCGTGTCCTGGGTCTTCCTCTGGGCCTCCTCCCAGTGGGACGTCAAATAACACACCGTTTTTTGAYATTTTTACTRTCATTTTWTTTWAATGAWAACATTCAGTAACATTTATTTTCATTCATTTGAATTAATATTSAGTCTGAACAAGCTGAACAGATAATCTACCTCAACCAGATGAACTTGTAACTTTTTTCTGCAGTAGCAAAAACACTGACTGTGGTCCCAATAACTGTCAATATCAATTTTATTTATAAAGCGCTAAAAAAAAGCCCAGCTAAAAGCTGCACCAAAGTGCTGCACTGCAATCCAYAAAAATCASAAAACCACAAAAATCGCTAAAAATACATAATAAATTRCAACCARCAATGGCAAAAACAAATAAATTACAATGCCTGCTCTTACTTTRATTWAATGCCAWTGAATAAAAKTGAGTCTTAAGAAGCACTTTAGCTATGAACAGATTTAATATAAAAGGGAAGTTGTTTCATAGATTTGGAGCAGTCACAGCGAAAACACATCACCTCTACTCCTAAATCTGGATCTTGGAACATCTAGAWCAGGGCTGGCCAACCCTGGTCCTCAAGKACCCCTATCCAGCATGTTTKACTTGTTTCCCTGCTCTTCAGCAGGTCTTCAGAAGATTRTTAATYACTCATTCATTAAAACCAGGTGTGTCAAATCAGGGAAACATYTAAACATGCAGGAAAGGAGTCCTTGAGGACCAGGGTTGAGAATCACTGCTTTAATACATGTTATCTGATTTATTATTTACAAATAAATGACAAAGAATCAATGGCTTTGAGAAGCAATACTAAAAAAAATAAATAAAACTAAGTCAATATTATATTTTGAAAATGTGTCATCAAGCTCAGAGAAGCTCTTGAGGTGTTGGTCAACATTTAAAGCAGTGATTTTTAGATGTTTCCCTGAYTTGACACACCTGGTTTGAATAAAGAGTGATTAACAATCTTCTGAAGACCTGCTGAAGAGCAGGGAAACAAGTCAAACATGCTGGATAGGGTCCTTGAGGACCAGGGTTGGCCAGCCCTGATCTAGAACGATGGTGTCCAAAGTCAGTCCTCAAGGGCCGGTGTCCTGCATGTTTTAGGTGCTGCTCTKGTTCAACACAGCTGAACCTAGGAGTGCCTGATTAGTGTGYCTCTGCAGACCTTGRTGGCATACTGAGGAGGCCTAATAATGAAGCATTATGTTCAGCTGTGTTGAACCAGAGCAGCTCCAAAAACATGCAGGACACTGGCCCTTGAGGACTGRCTCTGGACACCACTGAAGACACATCTAAATAATGAAATGAATACATTTAAAATATGAACAGATCACCTGCTGCGGTCTGAACCCACAGTCTCGAATCTTCCTCCTGGTCCTCGTGGACTTTTTCTCTCAGACGGACAACTTCTCATGGCTGTCCGTGTTGTTCTGTAGGCTGAAAAATAAATCCTGCTGCACCAGTGGTTSAGCTGCACCGGTTTGTGGCCCGTAGTGGTCAGAGACACGCTCCAAAACCTTCYGTCCATATCGAGCTGTCTTCAGTATGGCTTAATTTCAATCTGTCAAAATGACAGATGGCCTTCAGGTTTTTCTGTCACCATTTAAAAAATAAATAAATAAATAGGTAGGTCGGTCGGTCGGTCAGTAGAAAAATATTTGGTCAGTCAGTAAAAAATATTTGGTCGGTCAGTCAGTAAAAAATATTTGGTCGGTCAGTCAGTAAAAAATATTTGGTCAGTCAGTAAAAAATATTTGGTCGGTCAGTCAGTAAAAGATATTTGGTCGGTCAGTCAGTAAAAAACATATGGTTAAAGCGTCCCCTGAACTGAACCCTGGTCTGTTCTAGTCCATAACTTTGTCTCTGACCTGTGTGGAGAGTTTCTTGGTCTTTTGCTTGGTGGTAGTTCTCACTACATGTGGATTAGCTCAGTTTAGATAAAACTATTGATGTTGATTGAGGAAGCTGTCAGAACCGGTGTGAGTGTGTATACCTGGTTTATGTTACCTTTTTAGGACCCTTTCTGCTATAAATACCTACCTTGTCCAACCAGTATTCCTTTGGGGGATCAAAACCCCAACTTTAACCCCAACTTAAACTCAGTTCATACCTTAGCCTTAAACCGAAGCCCTTCACCCATGACTTGTGTTACTGTGTTACCTTCCACCATATTATGACCGGTCTTTAGTCCCCAAAAGGTCTACTGGTCCTGATAAGGGATGTGTTTATGCCAGGAATGGTCCTAAAAACTGAATGTTTTTGCAGTCTCTGCATATCCTGATGTCTCTACGTCAGTGTTATCATTTCCCCCCTGCTCTCATCAGACGTAACGTTGCAGGTTGATTACAGGTAACGTTTAACTTCATTTTGCCGTTCATCATCTCCCTTCAGGTTTACACCCGACTTCACTTCATCTCGAGTGATCCGGGAGCTGAAACTCATGACTTGGGGGGGTTCAGAGTTCGTGTTTGTCCTGAACGCCTCGCTGCCCTACCACATGTTAGCTGCGTGCGCAGAAACCCTGCCCAGACCGAGCTGGGAGCTGGAGCTCTACATCATAGTGTCCGTCGTGATGTGGTGAGTGTGCAGACCCTACGCCGATTTGAGTTTTACATAAGTTTATATTTGTGCGTTTGCTTGTGTCTTCACAGCTCCATGTTTCTGCTGGTGATCGCCACGGCCTACCTGGAAGCACAAAGCATCTGGGAGCCATTTAAAAGACGGGTCTCTGTAGAACCCAACTCCAGCTTGGAGACCGGGAGACCCTTTAACCTCAGGGATATTGTGCAATTTCCCAATAATTTAAAGTAAGTTTCCAATAAAAGATCTATCAGTTAGCTAAATCTTTATCTCACAAACAGGTATGTTAGAAATAAGAGGACCAGGTCAGGCCTCCAAAAGCTTTTCTCCACACTGACCTCATTTTTGTAAGCCTGACTCTTTCTAACTCTCTTTTTTCTTTTTTAGGATTTTTTTCTTATTTTAGGGACATTAAACCCTTTCTTTATTTTCATACTTCTTCTTTTGTCAGTTACATTTTCCTCTAAACTTAGTTTATGTTTAAATATGTATTTAAAGCACTATGAGAAAACATTTTTATGGCTTTTTTTAACCTCTTAAGCCCCACGGGGTTTTCTTTAAGTTTTTTTCTATGACGACATGTAACTGAGTGTATCTCAGCATTTGCAGACTCTACTTAAATAATCTTGATATCAAAATAAAGCTAACACTTGGGAGATTTCATCAGAAGTGTAAGTATTAAAACAGCTGCTGTGGTTTTACAGATATTGGGGATGGAACATAATTTTTAAAGTAATTTTTTTTACCCTCACCTGAATAATTTTTTCATTAGACAGTATATAACCCATTTAAAACCACAATGGATCATGCTAAAAACTCTTGGAAACCATAAATCCACTTGTGGACATTACCAGTGCAAAGATTCATGCTGCTAAAATGAACTGGAGCAAAGTTACAGAAGTTTTAGTAAAGAAATAATTTTGGATTTTGTCATTCTGCACAGGACAGATTATGATGGTACCATTAATAAATGTTAAGAAATCTGAAGTTTTTAATTACAAAACTTATTTATTTTCTTTTATCTGCCTTAAAAGACTTATTGAATGTTTGTTCTTTTGAAAAATTATCCAAACATTTATTTATCACAATATATATTATATAAAATAATGAGAAATTATGTTTGTCTGCAGTTGGATCATATTCACTCAAAATCAAGTGAAAAAAAAACTTTCAACACACTTTACAAC